TTAATGTGATAGGTTACAAGAGGTACTCGTCCCATAAGGCACAAGTGAGCTCTCTAGTTTTATACTAGAAAACTACATCATTTCTATACTTCAGTTTTGTTACTGCCAACAGCGTAATAATTCATCAGCAGACAGAAGTGAATAGCATTTTTATGCATTATCTGTTGGAAAGAATCAGACGTTTTCACGACAAGTCTACTGATTATGAATTTCGATGTCAAGTTGAAAAGTGCGCTTGCAGTAGACTTATTAACAAATAAACATGTATGCTTGTCTAATAGCTTTGAGAGAAAGTCCTTTCGGGATGAATAGTTTTCATAGCAGCCACCGTCGTGTGGTAAAATGAGACGTCAGGTGAGCAGAAAGCTTATTGAATGGAAAATTAAGAGAATTGAGTCTGAAAAGTAGATTGGTCAGGATTTCAAAGATATGGTCCTGCAAGATGATAGCAACAGTTATGTCGAGTATGATGATGACGATCAGGCAGGTGTGATGGATGATGATTATGATGGTTAGTTTTCGTTCTTCAATTTTTTAATTTATTAGAGCTTGAAATTGAAATCCATATTTAACCCATTCTCACAAGAAGTTTCAAATCTTATTTGTAAAAAAAATGTGACTAACAAATTGTAATATTTCTGTGGAATATTCTTATCTTATTTGAAAAAAAATTGCATGATTGTCAAGTTTGATTGTTTCATCAGTTATTTTCATTTTTTCAGATCTTTTACGAAAACTGAACGTGGATTCTCAGGTATCAATTCATTTTATTCCCTGTTGTTGAATTATTTTTTTTTACAAATATGTCATTGAAAGTCGCATCTTTTCTTTCAGTTAAATTCAAGGAATATCTCGGGAAATGGCTTGACAAAAGTTATTTTAGGTATGTCATTTCTGTTAAATACTTTTGTTGAAATAAGTCATTTGACAGTTCAGTCCATTGTCCTTCTAGTATAATGTAGTTTAATTTTGATTTGTCATGGCCTAAATGAGTTGTTGAGCATTCTTCTTATAGAACAAATTGGTCTAAATAAGTGGAGCGGCAAAAATACGAATCATTGTACTTCAGCAAAAATCTCTAGAAAAGATCGGTCTGATAGAGCTACTACTGAGCAGGTAGAGCGCTCCAAATTTCTCATTTATATATTTTTTCACTTACTGACCTGTACACACCTACTGATCACTAAATTTTCCTTCTGAATTTTTGTTTTTGTGAATTTGTGTGATGCCTATCTGATAATTAGTGCCAAAGTTCAAAATGTTTCCACTTGTACTTGTGTAAGTTTTTGAAGAGATGTCCAGTCTGAGCAGAGGTTGCTATATTAATTGTAGTGTTTTGAATATTGATGCTAGATAATATTTCTGCATCCATATATTCTGTAGAGATTTTTTAGGTTTTGGATAAACGTACTTTACTTATATTAAGAAAGCTATTGCAACGTGACGTTTTTGAAAAAATTGAAGGTTGCATTAGTACGGGCAAAGAGGCTAATGTATATCATGCCATAACAAAGGAAGGCAAAAGTGTTGCTTTGAAAGTCTACAAGACAAGTATACTTATATTTCGCAATCGAGACAGATATGTCAGTGGGGAATTCAGGTAGCTAATTTGAGTTCATATTCATTGTTTCAATGCTTAAACATTATGTTCGAAAGTACTTTTGAAAACCCCAGCATATGAATGAAATACCATTACTATCGGAAGGATTTACTTGTTTCCATATCGTAAACTCAAATAGTATCAGAGATTTTTCACAGTTTGAAATTGAAACCCTAAAGCAGCGTGAATGAAAGATCTTTATTCCTGTGTAACAATTATTAATGAACATTTTGCATGTGAACATCGTTTGCAAAAGTACTAAGAAATCAGTTTTAGCTGTTTTACACTGAAATGAAGTTTCCATTGAAAAGTCAGTCCTTTTACAGATATCGGCATGGTTATTGCAAAGGTAATCCTAGAAAAATGATTACACTATGGGCAGAAAAAGAAATGAGGAATTTGTCACGAATGTACTCTGGTAAGCTTCCAGTTCCGAAACCAATAACTGCTAGACAAAATGTTTTGGTAATGGATTTCATTGGTTCGGAAGGTTGGCCTGCACCACTTATAAAAGTTTGTTTTGAAATTTTAAAAAACTGTTTAATATCTCTTTATGCGATTCGAAACTTTAATAAATGTGAAAATTTGGTTCTCTGTAAACTATTTTATTTGAAATCAAGATTAACTCCGTATTGATTTCAATTTTTGCAATAATAAGTTTAGGATGCTGATTTGTCGGAAGAGCTTGCAGATGATCTTTACCTAAAATTAGCTAGTTATATGCGAAGAATGTATCGAGATTGTCGATTAGTACATGCTGATTTGTCAGAATATAATATTATGGTACACGAAGGCAAGATGTACATTTTTGATGTCTCGCAATCAGTAGAACACGATCACCCTCGATCGTTAGAATTCCTTCGGTTGGATTGTTCGAATGTCACGAAATTTTTTATAAATAAGGGTGTATGTCCTTTAATTTATTGTCTCTCGCTTTTACAATTATTGTTTCAAGAGATGAATATACTACAAATAGTTCAAGCTTTGTCATTTATAGGTTTCGGTACTTTCAGTGGAAGATCTTTTCCGTTTTATTACTGACCCAACTGTCAACACAGAAAGTGAAATGAATGCTCTATTGAACAAAAGGCAGTTTTTTCGTATCTGATGCTTTATTCTAATCATTTTTGTTTTTCAAAATCTTATTTTTAGTTTCTTACAATAAATATTTTTTTATCGGCTTTTTCATCCACATCTAAAGGTTTTTCTCAGCATTTTTACTAATAACCTTGCTGCTGTTGAAATAATTGGGACTTGAAATATGGAAGTCTTAATTGGACCTAAGATATAGGAAATCTTATTCTTGAATTATTGATTAGAAATCTATTTCTAAAGATTTGCAGAAAATTCGGACGTGTTAATAATGAGGAATTTTTAAAGACTAAGATATATTATTTCTTCATAGATTTGTTATGTTATTAAAAATATTCTTCATAAATCAATTTTTGAAGATGGTTTTACAGAAACTGTAAAGAACTAAAAGAAGATGCTCTGTTCATGAATGCTTTCATTGCTCAGAAACTAGATCAAGTTCTTTACTTTGAAAGAGATCAAGAAATCGCGAAGACTGGAGGCGATATACCAAACCCTTTTCAAACGCTGGTTTCACGAGTCGAATGCTGCAAACATCTTGATGTAAATGAAATTGTATTTTTTCTATAATTATTTATCCACGTAGATTTTTTCTTATGTAGTTTATTTATTCATCCAGTTTGTGCTAGCAAAAGATAATCTTAAAAGTACAAAAATTATCATTGCCCACAAATTTGCCTAGCACTTTTTTTTTAAGCTATAGATTTTTTTGGATTTTAAACAGAAAATACTTAGTGAAGTCTTTTCATCCAAATTTAGTTTTTTAGGAGAGACAGTGTTCAGATATCATTGAAATCAATAATGGCGAATTAAAAGAAGTAGAATTTTTTGAAGAAGTATTAGATGATGTGAAATCTCAGTCTACAACACATCCTTCACCAAAAGAAGAGACTCAAGATGATATGCCACGCAGGAAAGACGATATATTTTGTCGTGTTCGCGATGAATCGCCAAATACAAAAAAGGTTCTTGATTTGAAATTGAGAAATTTTTTGTGTTTTACAACTCTTTGTTTTTATTTTTCTGACCACTAATTTCTTTTCTGAAGTAAGGTGTTTGATTAAGAATATGTATTCAAGGGTTTTTTTTTTTCAGAGGCGGAAACAAATGGTTAAAGAGTTAAAACGTGAGACTAGGTCACACAAAATACCCAAGCATATTAAAAAACGTCATAATAAGAGTGGCAAAAAATGATGTTGTTATAAGGAATTCAATTTGTTTTCTTTGATGAATTTCAATTTTTTTTTAAACCCTAAGCTTGGAAACTGATTTTAATCAAAAAGTATTTGATACCCTAATTTCTAAATCGGTCATGATCTCTTTTATCATTTTCATTACGGCAATGATGTTTTGTTTTTTTTTCCAAGTATATTTTTTTTTTGCTAAGTCAGCAATTCCTGGATTTATTCCTTGGATCTTCAGTGTAAATTATTTGATTCTAATTTTCATTGATTTGAAAAATCTTTTAATAAGCTTTTGGGCTGTTTTTAAACCATGATTTATTGGTTTGGAAATTTGTGTTCATTTTTATTACTGATATTAAAACATCATTAAAGATTATTGTTATTTTATGTGATTATCGTTTGATATTTCTATCGAGACTTTTTGTTACATTTCTTGAGTATTTTTGCGTATCATAATTTTTTTCAGTATTAAAAACTTTCAGGTTTGGAAATAACCGGATTTGATCAGAATGTCTTAACATACTTATCTTTTTTTCAGTATAGATGTAAAGTAAATGTTAGATATAAATTTTTCATTGCTACTGTTTGTGCAATGAAAACAGTATGGTTGATGTGTTATAATTGTGATAAACAAACTGAGTAACTTTGCATGTACTCTGTCACAGTACCAGAATTAACTATTCGATGACTACTGAGCGAATCATTGTTGAATTTTTATGGGGACACATCAGTTTACTAGTTAGGGAATTAATTGCTGTCGAATGCTGAGAGTCGAGTTTATTCGCTAATTTTAGCGACTACTGAATATATGAAGTCCAGTTGTGTTATATTTGTGAGTCATTTGTACTACTGTTTTTTGACAAATAAAAAGACGAGAATGATGCGTTCAGGTATGCTTGGGTTGAACGTGTGATGTTCGGGTGTAAGTTTTGTTGCGACTTTTCGTCGTTAGCTAATTGAAAATGGAATTTTCTGCAAACTAGCAGATGACTAGAGTGATATTACTTTGCTTTGAGGATACAGAATGTATTATTTTTAATTACGGGAATCACACTGAATTTAATATATTGCCTATGTTAATGCAGGATAATGCATAGAAAGTAATAATTGAGAAAAATACTCAAAGCTTTTTTTATTTCTCAATAATATATATTTATTAATTATTAAAATGAAAGTGGGTATTCTTTGCAACGTAGAGAACAGTATACTTTATAATGAAAATATTGTTGATATCAGAGTAAGTATTGAAGTTATTATAATAGCAAGTTTAGGATGTAATGGTTCATTCATATGCAGCAGCTGAGTTTACTGACAGATGAATGCTTAATTTTTCGAATAATTAATTGTTTGCATCTGAGAAATGGCAATAACATGAGACTATTACTGTGCGCAGAAACTGTTTACATTATTCTCACCTTTTGTTGATGGTAACAAATATGATGTAGTGAAATTGTTAATAACTATTTTATTGCTTTGAAAAAGAAAACTACTGTGTAAAATTTTATTCAAATTTTAACTACTGATAATGATATGCATAAGAATTTATGTTAATGAGCTAAACAAATTTTTGATTGTAATAGAATGTCATTAAATCTTGACAATTACAGATGTATAAAATTGCGATTCAGTATGTTTGCTCATCCAAAAGCTCACTTTGCTAGAAAGAGAAATAAACATATTTATGCATTTGTAGTGCTAAAACTTGTTATCAGTTTCTAAAAAGAATATTTTAATTTGATATAAATTAAGAGATAACATTTGTAGCGACAATTGTTACTCATATAAACCTTTATATTACTTCTTGCAATTTTATCTCTAATTTAATATATTTAATCGCGAAAAAAAATTGGAAACAAAGTGCTCATTGCATTAATTATTATTATTTATTGCAATTATTTTTATTAATTTTGTTTATAAGTACTATTTACTGCAGATATTTTTATTAATTTTGTTAATAATTACAGCAATAATCTTTATTAATTAGTCAAATACTAAGTGTGTAAGTAGTAAAGTATGCGGTGTTGTATATTAATATTATTTGGTTACTATTTCTTTATTATAAAAATAGTATAATATCAAGTTGGGGCACTTAATATGCATGCCACTACTCGCACTTTTATATTGCTCATTTGTTATTGTTATTATTAAATTTGTGAGATTTAATAATCTTCCAAATCATAATATTAGCATAATATTTCATTAATTCGCGAATAACACTGAAATATATGAAAAAGTTCGCAAATTTGACTTCAGATTTTACGATTTTACTGTTTTTGTGAGAGGTGCAAAAACTAAAGCATTCCGTGCCAAAATTTAATTCTCAATGGAATTAGTTGCGATAGAAAGGCAGCAAACATCACTCAGCTCATATCATTCTTGAATGATTCAGCATACTTTACGTTCATTCATCAGCAACAAAAATTCTGTTTATTTGTTCCTTTACCGAAGGACAAAGATTACGTAAGTGGATAAGCGTAAAATTAAGTGATTGCAAGTGTCTTTTTTGACGCCAACATAAGTGCAAGCTTCTGCCATAGTTGCCATGACAGCTGCATGTAAAGGCAGTGATGAATGAGTTTCTTTCTGAATAATCAATTTGTGGCGTTTTTTGTTGATAGTAGTAGTATAATCGTTACTTAACTTTAATATTGGTATTGATCTCAAGAAAAATGTATTCCCCCATAGACTTGAATTGAGGACTTGTATTCATTTTTTCTTACTTAGTAATCAATTACTGATTATAAATCTATTGGCAGTACAGGTATTGGTAGTGTTGAGTATAATGTTAGTAAATTAAATGATTTTTTGCACTTATAATTATTAGAGCTATTTTTGAAATGATTTCAGTCATAGAAAGGATATGAAAAGAGTAACTAACCTCAACAAACTTATACTACTTTTTCATTTATTATTGATAAATATAATTAACGTGAAGTACACGTGCAAGATTTAACGCGTATAAAATTTAACACATTGTAAGAATAATATATTTATTGAAAATTGTATTACTGGCATGCGCAGTTTAGCGTAAATAAATTGAATGGAAGAATAACTTTTTTTTTCAAAAAAGGAAGTTTGAGCAGCAAAATATAATGCCTGAAGAATATTTCATTTATTCTTTTTCTAAACCACTTTATGCCATTTGCTTTTTCGCATCGCTTCACGTACATAACGCAATTTTCGCTCGTACTATTTTCCGCTTCATTTGATTAGCCGAAATTATTTATTACTGCTTAGTTATTCCTTACTGATTAATATATTATTCTTTTTAATATCATTTTTGATCACGAAAAATTTTTGACATAATTTGTCCAATATGTTAGTACTATAATAAGTGTTAATTAAAATTATACATCCTTTACATTAGATATAAATATTAGAATTACTCATTTTGATATCAAAAATTTAATTAAATAAATTTGTTTATTATTTTGTTAATTATTTCAGATTTATTACATTTATTATTATTTAATTTATTATATTTATTATTATTTAATTATTATCTATGTATTATTTTGTTAATAAATAAATTTATTAGTTTGTTAATTATTTCAAATATTCACAAAATTGAAGATATTGATTGTAGTGTAATTTATTGAAATTTTAGTTGAGTACATTTCACGGCATGCTGTACTACATGCAATGATTGTAATTTATGATAATAATTCTCCACAAAATTAAATTTGTTGTATGAAATTATAGAAATAAAATGAAGTTGCAAAAAAAGAATGGATAAATTCGATTTAATTTGAATTGATTTAATTACATGACTGTGAAATAGATAAATAATTATCTTTATTCTGTGAAAACTAGTCACAAAAATGGATATATCTCACTCTTTTGTAAAATATTCAAATATCTGTTCATAATATACAATCAAATCAGAGATCACTCTCTCTCTCTCTTATTTATAGTTCATTTAGCTAGTAAATAAATAATCAGACAATGTTTTAATGCAATTATTATTATTATTATTTTTGTTAATATTACTTTAAAAAACAATACATATATGCAAATGCAAGCATTGGTTATTTATTAAAATTATAGTATTATTAGTATTTGTATTTTAAAAATGAATTAATTACTGTAAATTATTGAAACTGTTCTAAGAAATAATTGATTGACTACTGATTACATTGAGCGGAAAGGAAGAAATTGAAGGAAAGTTTGTTACACTCATTCGCATTGATAAATAATGATTGTACAGGTCGTGGGGTGAATTGGGTGTAATACTCTTTAATATATAATTTTATTTGATGCAATCGTTGTTAATTATACAAAAATTTATTGCACAAATGAATAATTTGCTCTAATAATAGAGTGAATAGTTTTGTTGTACTGTATTGTTTACGTGATGTATTTATTATTAATAAGAGACAATGCTTGCTGAGATCGTTACAGATTCAGTATTCGTTGTAGATGCCTACCAGATGTAATATTTATTTGGAATACAATTTTTTTCAGTAATTTCAATTATTTTGTATGTAATAATTATTTTCGCATAATTTTAGTTGTCTAATTTTTGTAATTAAAATTTTTGTTTTCAATTTTGTCAATATTTATTAACTGCTTAACGTTATTATTTCGTGTAATAAATAATGGAATTAACCGATTAAAATTCAAAGCTCTGACTTTCGTAGAATGTTATATGCTATCAGCTTATGACAGAGACTGCATAATTAGTTACTCTGATATTTGTTTGCAGACAATTATCTCTACATAGTTCTTGCTTCCTTAACTTTTATTACTTTTATATCAATGCTTTATCTATTTAATTGCTGAAAACTTTACAATTACCTTTAACCTTTGACATTGTACTATACTTTGTCATTTCAAAAATATTAAAAAATTATCATACATTAAGGATAGAATATTATTGAAGTGATAAACAACAAAGCATTCTTTTATGGCAATTAAAGTTTTATGCGGAAATGTGCAAATTAAGCAAACAACACGTGGGCCACAAGTGATAAACACACGTAATTAACTCATTACTAATTTAGTTTATAGCATTAATTAATTGACTCAGTGATGTACTTTTCAAAAGAGCACTTAGCATAGCATTGATAAATATTGTGCAAAATTAAAAAAAATAAGAATTGTGATGAATTTGTTGGAGTGTAGTGTGAAATTAGTTGACATTATTATTCATATTATGGCAATTGTATCAAAAAAGTTGTGTGGTAGAATTGATGAACTCTCACTGACTAACACATTTATTACAGATGTCAGTGATGTGGTCGTGAGGGATATATTGCTTAGGCGTTGTCAACATTTATGGACCCTAAAAGCTTATTTCTGTACTGTAAATCTCTACTGTAAACTTCAAATTATAATTTACTTGAAATTTTTTCAACGAATATTAATTGCAGTCATTAATGTGGTTTCTTATCAGATGAACAAACACTCAAGTGTGCAATCAATTTGTGCAGAAATTTATCAGTAAAAATTTTTGATTTCGTCTGCGCAATTCTTATGGCTGTATTCGTTGTGTATATGCAATTAAAATTGTTTTTAGTAAAGTAATCGATTGATTGATTGATTGAGTAGTCTTAATCCCTGGAATTAAAGGTGAGAGAAATTTTCATAAAAACAATTGATGTTTATTACTTATAATTAATGCTTTGTTTACTAGCGTGTGTTTTGATAGTTAGCTATTCATTCATTCATTTATTCAAATGGATAATATTCTAATGCTAATAATAATTAATTCTTTAAAGTTACGAATTCAAAAGTGAGAAATGTGTACAAAAAGTCTAAATAAATAAATTCAAATAATTATTATCAGTTTGAGTTATATTACAATAATTTAATTCATTAATATGTTTGCGTATTGTTAATTTTGCTCAAATATTCGTTCTTAGCTCAAAGCTTAAGAAATTCACTTTAATAAGCAATTGACCTTACTACCTTATCATTCATTTTATACTTCAGTCAAATCAATAATCGGTTATCGTCTTTAATGCTTAAGTAAGAATTGTTGTTAAAAGTGAATTTTTGAGCAATCCTTGTTGCCAAAGTTCTTAGCCAAATGTAATGCACAAATGATAACATGTGACAGACAGGTTTGGAAAAGATTAAACTATAAATCTATCTATCTATTCGAATCTATTTATCTATTTGAATGGCTATTCGAATCCATCTATCTATCTATCTATCTATCTGTTTATTTATTTATTTACTTACATTTATGTGTACTTATCTGTATTTATTAACTCAATGGTTGCAAAGTAAGGGTTAGAGTCATACTTTCTTCCTTCTACCTGCAAGGTAGCAACACATTGTTTGGCACATACATATACTTGTATTTATTTGCATGTGTGTGTGTGTGTGTGTGTGTGCATTGGATGTGTGTGTCTGTGCGCTTAGGCATATATTTACGATCTATCCTTAACCTCGCATACTTCTCTTTTCATCTCTTATTTTCATTACATTCCTAAGATTTTTTACTTTTACTTCCATGCGTTATAGTTTTAACGTTTTCCCTCTGAAAATGTCAATACTTAAGACAATAAGAATGTTTTCTTCTCATTTTAAAACAAATGTAACACACACACACACACAAAGCACGTAGTGAATGCAAATGTGAAGTGTAGTAGTAAATTAATTAAATTTGCTATTTGTATTTATTTTTTATTGCAATTTCGAGCAAAAGTAAGAGTAATTTCGTGAAAATCATATAAACGATGAAGCTTTGCTCGTCTATTTTTGAATTATTGTGGTATGTTAGGTATTCATTTCGTCAAATATTATTGCAAAGTAATTAATGTTGAAAAGAATAATTAATTTTGCAACTTTGCTTGTGATTCTTTTGTGGTTTGTTTATTTAATTTTTCCTTCAAGTGTTGTTTGGCTTCGTTTTGAAGCTGTAAAAAGCAGTGCAGTGATTTGATGAGATTTGCATTGGCTTCTTGAAAAAAAGCTTTACATATAAGCAAGCAGACAAGAAGTGCTGACGATTGCATATTGTACTGCTCTTGCATGTATTATTAACATTATGAGTAATCTTTTACTATCAAGATTTAAGAGTGAGTAAGTAAGTATGAGCTAGTTGTTTAGTTTTTACTCACTTGCTATTTGCTTGCTTATTTGTGTTTGGATGCAATATCAGCATATTTGCTGATATTGGAATTGAACTGAACTGAACTGAACTGAATTCAATTCAATTCAATTAAGCTGAGATGATGCACTGAGAAGGAATTTGTGTGAAAATTAGTCCCGAAAATGAGTACTGTTTAAAATTGTAGTATGCTTTTTTTTACCTGAAGTAATTCATTTTATTTAAGTTTTTATACTTAATTTAATCTAATTAATTATGCAAACAAAATGAGTTGTTGCATTAGTGTTGAGTTTTCACTTATCTAAATGTGGAAAATGAATTATAATCCTCCCTACTCTCAGCCAAAATTAGTTTTTTTTTCTTTTTGCGTGCAAGATGAATAATAATTTCTAATTTATAATACTATGTTTGTCGGTTATATAACTGACCATGTATACATATCTATATGTATATATCGTACCATGAAATAATCATTATTTCCTGTAATGTCCCAATTTTGATTTCTTGCAATTGAATCGTAACAAATTCTACTGTTCGTATGTTTTTTTTTTCTTTTTGATCTATGCAATAAAATCACGCGCGATTTTTGAAATTTTAAAAGTATTATTTGCTATATGATATTGTCGTAATAATTTTTCTTGCAATTTCTATGACAGCACTGCCTGATTATGTGTTTATTTTTTAGTAAGAAAAAATTGCTAGAAGAAATCGTCCAACAAAATGGTAAATAATATTATAGCTTTCTCAGAAGTAAGCTAAACATTGTGTGGAATTATTACTCATTAAGTATTAAAGTTAAATAAATCTGTTATTTGATACTTTCTTAGCATATTGTATTCTACGTCATTCCAAGTACGTGCTATGTGTTTTTTATATTTTTATTTTTTCGCATTTTATAATTTTATGAGTTTTGTTTAATTTAAATACAGTTTAGATATGTTATAGATAGTAATTGTATTGATAGATATTAAGTAATAATATTTTTTTACAGTAAATGGATATTTATTTTAATAGGTACGCAGTCATATGCTTGTTTATGCGATTTCGGTAGTAAATTGATTTTGGGAGTGAAACAAAGCTGCTAAAAAATAAGACAGCCATGAATCGCTGCAGCAACAGCTATTTGGCTTCAGCTCGGAAAGATAACTCAGAAGAAGTGGCTAGACGACGGGCAGCTATGCTACAGCAAATTGAACAGAGGTACTTTTCAATACTTTTCATCGATAGGCCTTTTTTACTTGCAAAAAAAATCTGAAGAAAATATATAATTTTGCAATTTTTTCTTATTGATTCTTTTTTCATTAATTTTTATTCAGTTTCTACATCTTATTTTTATTGTTTTTTACTTTTGCTATAAATCTTTTAATATTGATTTGTTTCTTCTACAGGTTGCCCGTCGGTAGTAAAGGTTATGAGGGAAATTTTTTTAGTATGTATGCAAGGCTATTATGACAATGACAGTGTGTGTGAGAGCATTGAAAATGTTGCATATATTTTAGAATGACAAATAATCCAAAAAGTTTTTCAGAAAAGAGCAGCTTGGATAATGGAATAAAGTAATGTGGATTTTTTTTTAGTTGGATAAAAGCATTGATAAGATTAAATTTTATTGCATGAATCATATTTTTTCAGGCAAAAATTGGCAAGGAAATTGCAGGAAGAAAAAATGGCACGAGCTGTTGCTCAGAAAGAAGAGGTTGGGTATAAGTTCATGTTGTCTGCATGCTAATTTATGCTCGTCTCTTTATTTTTCTTGTTCTGAATTTAATGCGAATTATATATTTTGATAATGCTATGAAAAAAAAATATGCTAAGTAATCGATTTGGATTAAAATATATTAGTCTAGTCTTGCCACATTTTTTTAATTTCAGCGTTTACTGAAGCAACGTGAACTTCAGCAACGAGAAATGTTACGAGCAAAGGCAGTTTTAGATCGTCGAGCTCAAGTTTTGGCCGAAAAAGAAAAAGAAAAAAAGGAAGTAATGAAAATCTTTATCGAATTATTCAAATTTTTTTGATGTAGTATTATTAGCCACAAATGTTGCTGAAAGTTGCTGTCTTTAGGCTGCATTAGCGAAGATTCATGCAGTAGCATCACGACTTATGGCAAAGGGTAAATCGCGTCCAGCATATGCATTTGGTAGTAGTACACCTCGTGAACTTGGATATCTGACACAACTCAGCAAGGAGCAAAAGGTCTGGCGCTTAAAAATACTGACTGCGCAAATTGACATAACTTCATTTATCATTTTTATATCACTTACTTGTAACTGATGTCAGGTTTATGATAGCAAACTCGTGCCGTCGAATCGCAGTCCAACAGCTACATCAGGCTCCTCAGGTCGTTTGACATCAACTCCTTGTTACGGGACACGCAGTCATACGCCTCGTGCAACGATGACAAGAAGCTTTTACGTTGCTCAGTCACAATCTAAGAAACCACAAAAGCCAGTTGTAAATAATATGACGCAATCAGTAATCATTCCAACAAAACCTGTTAAACTCAATCAAACATCAGGTAAATAATTTCTTTGACTTATGTTCTACATTTAAGATACTTAATGCAGTACTTTTCCTGTTTTCACTTCTACTTCACTGGATGTTAGGAATGGAAAGAGGAATTGAAAAGTTGTCTGCATGATGATTTCTGTTGTTGCAAAAATTCCGCATAATTGAAATTGGGTTGTTTACACATTGCATGAGCAGCATTATTTGTCATATGAAATATGTATGCAAATTATAGGAGTTGCATATATTAAAATGTTCTTAAATATATACATTTGGCCATCATTTTTGTTTGTTTGCATTCTGTATTGGGGAATATATTTTTGATAAGAAATAGTGCGATGCAAAGAATTTGTTGTAGTTCATGGTCGATCGTTAGGACAGTGTCCGCGAACTGCTGCCAAAACACTGCTTCCTGCTACGGCCACAGTGACAAAAGTAGAATCGAGGCTCAGTCAGCCATATGCATCTTCTGTATCTGCTCAAATTAAGTGGGAACTTCAAAAATTTATTGCTACTTATCTTTCAAAAAAATGCTCTCTTCTAAATTGTAAGCCAGTTCATTTTTCAGTTCTAAAAAGAAAAACGAAGCTTTAAAAGCTAAAACAGTATCAAGAATAAGTCGCAATGAACTGAAAGAAAATACTGAAAGCATAGGAGTTCGAACCGGATCGGAAAATACAGTTATGATTCCTATTACAGAAACTCAGGTTCAAATCAATGTGGCATGTCCAATAGTCGAAAACACTGACGAACAACAACAGAATATGAATTTAAATGGAATTGAAAATTTAGATAAGAAAAACGATGTAATAGAATCTTCTGTCTTACCTTTTGTTCTCAACTCCCCCATAGATCTTTCTTTGAAAAAAGAAGAAATTAAGGAAGAAGCAAAAATAAATGAAATCGGAAAGACTAACTTTTCTGAAGCAGATATTAGTGACAACAGGAAAGAAATAGTTGTTCCTAAAGTTGCCATGAGTGATGTGCGAATAATCGAAACGGCTGAAGATTTTGTGCCGCCAAATAATAAAAATGAACCAAAGGTAATCGGTGCGTTGAAAGAGGAAAAGATTGATCATGTATATCGTGATGAAGAAGTGGAACCGGTCACGAAGCAGACACAAGAAGTTGAATGCTCTACACTGCCAGAAACTGAACAGAATGAATCAAGCATGCTAAAAACAGATCAAGATGATTTGGTTACAGACTATTCAAACTTAGTTCGCATTCCGTCTGTCGCTGAGATAGAAAAGAATTCTGAAAGCAACATGCAGGTTGGTTTCATAAAACTGTTGCAATGTTTATTTGCATTCAGCATTAAGTATGTAATGATTATGAGTGATATTGCAGATTGCAGTGCCAGAAGAATCAGCAGTTGTAGATGGAAAGTTGTCTGACCCGCCTAAAAGTGATGAAGAAAAGAACCAACCTTGTGTAATGGTAGAAGTGTCAGAATCTGACACGGAAAAAAGCGCTGTAAAAGAAGAGAAAAAAATAGTGGTAATGCAAAGCAGCTTGACACCGAAAACAAATGACGCAAAAGTTTTTGACGATTTAAAATTAGCTGAAGAAAAAGACTTATTCAAAGAAAGACGTCGCATTCAGGATGAACTTCTCGAAAAAGAGCAACGGGAACGGGAAATGCGAAAAGCCAAGCTAGCATCTATTATGAGCAGAACTCGTGGTTTACCTCCGATGGCTGTCGTTGCACCAACGAAGAATCTTCAAGTTTCTGAGGTTGTTTTTTTTACATTTTATGTGGAATATGCGAAATTATATTTTTAGGAAAACATTGCTCATTATTTTACAGGTTATTTCCCAGGATACTCTGTCCAAAGATCGTATAACTACAGCAGTCGAACCAACATCAATCAAAGCTGCTCTCAGTCATACCACTGCTTCTGTCCTTCAGGTGGCTTGTTTTTCTTATGTCGCTTTGTTCTCATTTATTTAGCATTTTTGTATTATGACGAGAAAATTTGAAGTTACTTTCTTAGTTTCCAAATAGTTAAATAATCTTAAACTTTCAGAAGTTAGCGACAACAAATCCTAAATTGTTGTCTGTTCTGCAGCGCAATGGGTCCAGTCAATCCTTAGCTGATGAACTATCTGCAGCTGATCCATCGATGTCAATGACGCTTCCAAGTCAACCGGTTTAGTCTGTTATCATTTACTGTGGCTGTTCAGTATTTACTGGCATTTGTCATTGATGATCGTTGGCATGTAAAAGTTTACTTTTCACAATCAATATTCGTGTTTTTTTCTCGTCAAAATATGTTCATTCCAATTAATTTATGCAGTGTCTCAAAGGTTAATATCGTGACCTATATAAAAATGTTGATCATAATTTTAAAAGAGATAATTACTCTCCAAATTTTTAATTTTTAGCCTGAAAATAAAAGTTACGAAAAGATGCACTACTCTGTGCTTAAATAGTGCAAAACTACTAAAGTTATTCAATGCGAATTTATTGCGATAATCTGTATACATTATATTGTTCATGCTGATATGATTTGATTCTGTTGATCTTTAAATAGATATCTAATATTGCATTTTAATTTATCAGTTCGTCTATGGTGAAACATTATTTTAGATTTTAGGATGTTTTGTAAATGTAGCAAATGACAGTAAATGGAAGTTTCTTGAGCTAAACGACGAGGAGGATGAATCTTCAGATATACAATAGTATTCTTTGCGAGATGAAATATTCCAGTTTCGTGATATTTGCATACACAGCATTAAATCGTAAAATGAAAATCTTGTGGGTAAAGATTTAAAAATGGAGAGTTTTCGTTGTACATTTGTGTCTTAAGTGTGATTTACGTAACTGCTCAAATTTTTGTAATCATTATAAATGATCCATACAAAATAAGAGTTTCATAGTAGTGCATTTGTCAAACAGTTACATATTTATAAATACTATTATTAAGTACTGAGGTCTCGCTTATCAGCTTTTATCCTTCTTATTCATTAAGATACGACTGTAAAGTAATATTTTGAAAATTTTTTATTCCTAGTCTTTTTTTTTTGAAATATTTTGTAAAGCAGTATTTTGAAGTAACGTAATGTGTATTAGAAGGTCATGGTGCTACGAGTTCAGTATATAAGAAATAGATCAATGAAGGGGAAATTAATCTAGTCATAGTCTTGGTGGATTTTGGTTGATAAAACCTGATGAAAGATTTCGTGCTGTTTTCTGTACTTTAGTTTATTATGTTGTATTTTTTCGTTTTGAAATTAAATGTAATCCTGCTTATATAGATATTTCATATAAATTTGTTTCTTATTTCTCTTTTTTTTTACGATTTACATGAAAATAAAGCAAACGAAATATGGTTTTTAATTGATTTGTATAAAATCAAAGGAATGCTCGGTTTTTTATTGATTTAGCAAATTTTCATAAGATTCGTTTAGGACTTTCCAGTGCTTAAAATAAAGATTATTTTAAACATGAAAAACTTTAGGAAAAATATTTAATGTTTAGATTCATTAAACTGATCTCACAGATTGAATAGGGATATCAACAATCACGATAGCATGCTGGGATGCATTAGTTCACACTGCTTATAATGATATAATAATACTTCTTGAATTAATAGCTGTACTAATTTTTATAATTGAGGATGTGTGGTTTCATACAGCATTATAAATGGAAGCGAGTGGTGCAGAAATGTCAAATGTCATCGTATCCTCTTCGATTATCATTTAAAAAATTTGGCAAAGAATGTAAACTTGCACCAATAATTATTTTACATGGTCTATTTGGTCAAAAAATGAACTGGAATTCAATAGCGAATGTGTTGCAGTATCGTCTAGAAACAGTTGTATTCAGTTTAGACTTACGTAATCACGGTTAGTCGTCAAATGATTCTGTATGATGGAAAATAGCATACTATTGCATTGCGTGAATTTTTTTTCTTATATTTTCAGGAGGATGCTAAATTATAATAGGCTTTTGTATATCGATATCCAAAGAAATAATTTGTGAATTAAAATGCCCAAAGTTTTATTTAAGATTATACTTTGAAAACTAACGAGGACGAAGGAGTGAAGCAAGAAAAGTAGAAATTGATATGGAATTACTTGGCTTTTTACGTTAAAATATAATTTGGTTGGGTGTGAAATAAGTCTAATCCACGGTTTTTCTAGATGAAAAAAGTCTAATCCACGATATTCTTTGAATTTTTTATATTAGTGTTTTATTAAACTAAATCATTACTTCCATTAATAGATTATTAATAATTTGATTAACTTAATGAAATATATGAAAGATACCAACAAACTTATTTCATTCAATTTCATTTTACTTGTTTAGTATTAGATTAATTTAGTACTTGTAATAATGGTATCTGAAAAACCTGCAAATTGATTTAACCAGATGAACTCTATGTCTGTTATTTTAACTTTAAGAAATACATACTTTGATGATTGTATCAAATTTTTGTACTCTTCACGGGTTTTTGTATATTTGGATTTAACACTGCTACAACACATTTGATTTAAACTGGTAGGTTTTCCAAACAGTAGCTGTGCTCAGCACAATTATGTATTTCATTCATTGATACAAAACACGAATGATACACGTTTGTAGAATACTCAGATAGTGTAAATTAAGTTGAAGCTTATTCGCAGTACATATAAGTTACATAAGAAGTAATATAATAAGTGCTAACGAATAGTCAACACTTTTTGACAAAAACTTCTTTTTTCTTCTCACTGTACTTTTCTTGTAACTGTATGCATTACGAATTTTTGTACAACATTTTTATTTCTGTCGAAAATGTTGTACAAAGAACTGTAATAAAAAAAAAGTATTAATAATTTTTTATCTTTTTTTTAAGGTGATTCTCCGTGGCATCCAACGATGACATATGCTGAAATGGCAAATGACGTCAAATATTTTATAGACGACATATTACCTCAACAAATTGGTAAATTATCACGAATACATTTGCTTGGTCATTCAATGGGTGGCAAAACGGCTATGCATTTTGCTTTGATGGAAGGCAGTAGCGAACGATTGAAATCATTAATTATAGAAGACATAGCTCCAAAGAAGTATATTTCATCTACAAAGTTTCCAAAAATTATTAATGCTATGAAATCTATCAATTTAAATACTTCTCGTAATGAAATTGAACAAAAATTGGCTCAAACGATTACTGATCGAACGTTACGAATGTTTTTGTTGATGAACTTGTCGCGATTAGACAAGCAAAAGTATCGATGGCAATTGAATTTAGATTCTATTCAGAATTGCATGCATGAAATAAGTGGCAATGGTATACAGGATAAAGGAGTATATCATGGTAAATGCTTATTTGTTTCAGGTGCTAATTCAGATTATATTAAACCTATTGATCATACGCTCATTTTAGAACGCTTTCCAAAAGCTTTGTTTTCTGTAATTGCTGGTGCATCACATTGGGTGCATGCTGAGAAACCCTATGAATTTACTGATGTTATTGCTGATTTTATCTCTTCCGTTGAATTTGAACATTATAATAAGTGTAACAAAAAGTGAATATGTTCGAATTTACTCATTTTCATACAAATTAAAAATTGATTTTTGGTGTTTAAGAAAAGTAAATTATGATTTAGCATTGTGTAATTAATTATGAATAAACAAGACAGTTCTTTATTTGTTCTGCTATTATTAATAACAGTAGCCAGTACAGAGAGAACAAATAAAAGCTGGAACAAAAAATCTGTCAATTTAAAGAATGCATGAAACATTATGCAGCTCAAATCAGTACTGCATATGAATTTTGGTTTCTGGTTCTGTAATATTTGCTTTTGTTGCTAATTAATTTACAGAGAACAAACTTGATATAAGCCGAAAATTACATAGTAGTGGTTACTGTGCATGAAATTTGATTCTTAGATCCATAAAACACTTGTGACCTTTTTCGCTAATTAAAATTAGTTGTCAAAGTATTTAAGCTATTACAAATTTGTGGGACATACTTGAAGTATGAGTAATTTGTAGAAAATACTTATAATGTCAGTACTGTGACCTTACACCTTGTGCATACCAGATATCAACTTATAGGTTACCGAAGGAAGTGACCTTGAATATCGCTCCAAAGTATATTATTCTTAATGAATTTTTACTTCGTAGGCAAACTTTGTTCCTTAAAATCAGTTTATACAAAAATGCATCCCGGAAATATTCTTGTCTATTTCTAAATTCAGTTACTTCATTTTCACAGCAGTCATTTCAAAAAGTCCGTGTTCGTGTTGTCAAAATTTTGATCTGTCACAAATGATTGCTTTTGATATCTTACAGGAATGGCAAGATTTTTCTGTCATGTATTTCAGTAAATTGTTTTATGTGAAAGAGGAAGAATACAGAGATGAGGAAGTGTGTCATTAATTTGATAGGCCTTTTTTATTTCGAATGGACATTGCATGGCATTGGATGAATGAGAGTGATTAATGAGTATCCTTCAGATAAATATCGGTTCTCAGATGGAACCAGAAAACGTGAGTGTTGCACGGGGAATTCAATGAAGTGGAAAACTTCTGCACCATTGACGCAAACATATCTGAAATATCTCACCAACCTACCAATTAACATAATTATTTCGTATGGTGGAAACCATCGACATTAATAAGTGTCGATGAGTGTTAGTTAATTTTTGACGCTTGTTTTGTTATTCAAATGCTAATAAATAAATAAATAAGTTTGTGCAATTTGCGGCATAGCAGAATACTTTTGTTTGAAAATATTGGCGTGCACGGGGAGACGTCAGTCTAGAAGCAACAATATTACGTCTGATGATGAAAAGCCAAGAAGTATATGATGAAGCTTAGTTTCACTGTTGTTTACATTTTCTTGTTGATTTGTGTTATTTTGCCACAGCATAAGGGATAGATAGTATTGTGGGCTAAACGTTGCAGATAGAAGGAGTTTAATTCTGTTACATGCATTTTGTATGTTGCATACAAAAGGTTGAATAGTTAGTTCTTCAACGTTAAACAGTCATTCTGAGATTTTTGTTATGCACTTAAAATGAAGATGGAATGGAGTTTCGTAGCTATCTTCCTGTGATTACATGATTAAACTGTGAATTAATTGTTGATGCTTCGCATTTTATTTCTTATTAATTAATTAAGTTTGAATTAAAATACATGCAAATGGCACTACTATCTACATACATATTTATAGTTGTGCACACAAAGTACACACATACACACGGAAACACACTTAACAGATTGGTTTGTGAAAGAAATGTGCAAATAAATATTAAAGAATATAATATTAAAGAATATATGAAGTATTAATGTGAATAAAGCCTTGCAGCTATCAGCAATTATCTTTTGATTAGATCAAACACTCAATCAATCAATTATCAAAATTAATAATACAATAAATTCATATACATGCACTTTGAATTACTGTCTTCAGATAGTGACTATTTATTTTATTATAAAACTGGAAGCAGTTTTGCAATTGTTTAAGATGAGATTTGATTTATTATTCTCCCTTTTTACGAGCACTAAACAATGCATTCATATTCCTCAACGAACACAGTTTCAATTTCAATCAGTCAATATGCATGTACGTGAAAAGACACATACCCACACGCATACAAACACGCACATACATACATGCACACATCTACATATACACCCATACTCATACATATGCATGCAGAAGCATCCACACAGACTTACACTTGCACACATACCCACATTTCACACATATGCTATGCACAGGCACATAACACATATATACACGCAGTTAGACATGGTGTTAAATATCTCTTCTTCTTGTGTATAATTTTAGATGCAAAAAACTGTAACATATTGTTTGTTGAAATGAAGCAGTTCTGTGCCGATAATAAATGATAACATTTTGGATAAAGAATCAAGTCGAGCAAATTTATGTACTTGATCAGAATGTGATTTGATTAGAATATGATTGATCAGAATGTGATTTGACTAGAATATGATTGATCAGAATGTGATTTGACTAGGATATGATTGATCAGAATGTGATTTGATCAGATCTGTGTTTTTCAAACACAGCCTTCCTTTATTACGCTTTATTTGTTAGTCTAATTTTGCAAAAATAACAAAAATAAAAATTGAACTGTCTGTCTGACATCGACGCCAAGGTTGTTTTCTCTTTGAAAATTATATGAAAAAATTAAAAACAAAAATAATCGCAAACTTTTCTTCAGTGTGTGATGCGGAAGCAACGAATAGACAGAGCAGACTGATTGTTCGCTTGCGAATGCTCAAATTTTGTTGACTTATTTGCCAGTAATACTGTGATAATACTCTCAAAATGCTATGTTAGTACAAAAATTATTACATTTTAGTCTAATTTTGACTATACAAAGTTTGCTTTTAGAGCAAACAATTATTATGTGAATAGCAAAATTTGTTTTTTCTTTTTAAATGTAATAATAACTTATTTTGCACTAAAGAATTGGCATTAAATGATGGCAACAAGCAAAACAATACGCCATCAGCAGACTTGATAATAAATTTGATAATACTCTCAAAATAAGACTTGATAATTCTGACTCTGTGTTTTGTTTTCAAGTTTGGAAAAAACATGACGCAGACCTTTATGTAGAGGTAAAATCAAGCCAAATTATGTAATGAGACCTTTTTGTAGAGGTAAAGTCAAGTTAAGTAATGGGACTTTTTGTGGAAGTAAAGTTAAGTTACTTAATTAATGAGTAATTTTGGCAAAATAGCGGTTATTTAGAATGAAAATATGAAGACGCAAGACGTGAATTTAGTGTAAAATTTAATGCTTGCATACAAGACTTTTTGCATAATTCTGCTTACTCAATGATATAAATAATGCTTTTTGAATGGTTTCTAGGCTTAAGATCGGATTCATTTTTCATATCACTTACAATCTTGCCAATATATATTCTTTGATTAATTACAGAAGGAAAAAAGAAGTATTTCTATATGATTACGCTGACATTGCTTCAAATAATGATGAATGTAAAGAGATTTGTGGACTTCATTTTTACGCCACAAATCAGCAACGTTATACAAGCAGAGCACTTCATTTATCATCAATCAAATTATTAAAATTTTTATTTATTCTATTTTTAGTAATGAAAGTTTATATATTAATATTTTTATACGTGCAAAACAAATTTCAAGTTATTCATTTTAAATTAGTAATTTTTATTAGACATTATTTGTAAGGTTAGGTTACTCTACTATTTTTAGTTGCTAACTTCAAGTTCCTTGCAATCAATTGCACAAACAAAATTACAACTTGATAATTGCGTCGTCCATCACTAACATTCATGAATATTTTGATATAATAAAAACAAAATAAGTTTTAAATATTCACAAAGTATAAATTAGATACATTGAAAATTGAAAATGCGTGAACTGTTCGCGCAAAATAATAATTAATTAATAAAAATTATGATTTTTTTTTTACAAAAATGTGAATTTTACATTTTGCAAATAGAACAGATTATATCTGTTTTGGTGCATTATTTTATTGCTATAATTGCCATCTTTCAGTATTTATTTTGTTTCATTTATAAATTTAGAAGTCCTCTGAATACACTTGTCATCTTATAGACACAACATGAAAATGCATTCTGATGACAAACAGAGCAAGCAAGAACATAACAACACTTTTGAAATAAATTTAACAACAAAAACATTTATTTTCGAAAAATATAAAAAATTAAATTTATAGTTTTGAACTTTTAAAAACCGAAAAATTTTTGACTTTGAAACAAAAATTAGCTTTGATAGATAAATCACATTGGTGGCAAAATAAATGATCGCAGTAGTGAGTGTTTCTTTAATAATTTCACACTCATACATGCATATATTCCAATTTTAGTATAAATAATAATAATTTTTGATACATTTATTTGCTGTTAATTTTGTATCATTTTTCAGATTCAATGAATGTAGAAGCTTTTTAAGCAAAAACCATCGCTTACGTATAGCATAAATAATAAAAATGCGAATCTGCACACTGTAACTCTGCGAAATTCGCATTATGCTTTTTGTGAAAGTGAATCAAGGATTAATATCTTTAACAAGTGTTACTTTACTTTGTTATAAAAATAGTACCAAAAATATACTTTTCAAGCAAATTAATCTGTTAACATGTGACACAAATTTTTATCGATAATTTTTGTATCAAAAATTAATTAAGTTTGTTTGGGTATAACTAAGAGCAGACAAAAACAAATTAAAAAACTTGACAAAAATATTTTTTTAGACATATGTTGTTGTTATTGTCGTAAGAAGTAGTGTATTTCTTCAGTGACTTTGTCTTAAAAACGATGCTAACAGCTAAAACAAGCAAACTTTGCACACACTTATTGCTTTATTTAATCATTTTAAGTTTTGTAAGCAATTAATTCAAATTACTTTACTTTG